GAACTTAGACTTCAGGAAGACCTGATGTTGGAAAACGAGTTGGGCAATGTGTAATCACTAAATAAAATGGGGGCACACACACTCTCTCTCCATGTGCATTTGGTCGTTAGGCCATTTTCCCATCCTGGATGGCTGATAGTGATGGGTGAAAGAAGAATAAAACAGAAGCCAGGATGGTTATTGATCAGTTACCATTTATTATTCCTCCACTTCCTTCCAATCTCACTCATTGCCCATATCCTCCACCTCAATCCACCCACTCCCCCAGACTAGTTATTCCCCCTCTCCAAGGGTAGGGGGTAGGGATTATACACAGGTAGCACGATCCACCTATGTAAAGGCCTTTCCTTCCAGGGATGCTCTTAAAATAAAACAAAGATGTCCTGCAGCCAGGAGATCCTCTCAATGGTGAAATACTGTCTAAGAATGTGTTTCTCCCTTCCTTAGTCCAATAGCCATTTAAACATTCATCTTAATTCTACCTCTTAATATTAGTCATTTTGTATGGACAGAGTAAGAGATACATTAAGCCTGTATGGTGGCTTTCCTGGGGATATCTAGCTATATATCCTAGACTACAGTGCTCAGACTAGATTAGTCTATCCCAAGCCTAGCAGGGCCCTGATCCAGTTGTTACTCTTTCATGACAGAATTTGTCCATGACCGTGCTCTTAACTTATAATTAAGTATCATGACGCTTGACCTGGCCCATTTTGATGCCAGGGTAGCTCACAGCTTGCCCGGGATTCATCCAGTCCCTCGTCAGGACCCTGCTTTGGGGGTGCTAGGACCTAAGGGTAACTGAGGTTTAAGTCAAGTAAATATGAGAGATGCCCAGGGGTAAATATTATTTGGCATCAACTCCCAAGTTACAAAAGCATAGCATTAACTGTCTTCCTTTGTCTATAAAAAAAGGACATTGCTCTGAAGTAAACTATGCAGAGGACATAAGGGAAGAGAAAAACAATATTTACCAAATCAGAGATGTCTGAGGAATTTGGCTTTACAAATCACCGCTTAGGGGAAAAGAGTGAATAACAGACAGGTGAAACAGAACAAAGGAGAAGTTAAAGAGGAATACTGAGGAAATGGGAGTGCTTTGGGAGCACTGTGATGGGTGTTACAGAGTAAATCCAAGCTCTTTTTTTTTGGAGAAAGGCCAGAAGAGAAATGGCAAACCAATGTTAAGCCTAAAATGTTTAGAACTGTAATCCAACAGGGCAATGGAAATTGTTGAAGCTGGAAATACAGTGCTGAGACCAGACCATGGACCAGATATTTAATATAAAATATGCTTTTTCTAAGTAAGCCATAGTAGGTTTTGAATTATTTTAGTGTAACTGGATTTGATCTTATGAAAATCTTAACAAGAAGAGTGCAGCTTCTCTTTTCAAGGAACTTGCTGTGTAATAAGTAAATATTAAATAGTTTAAAAATTAACTTTTTTCTACATTTGATATTTTAGTGATTATTAACTTCTTACATCACAACAGATTCTGCCTCAACGCTTATGCATTCATCATCTCATTTAATCTTTCCAAGGAGTTTTGAAATATTCTCTAATGATTCTTATAGTCAAGGAACACAAACAATAGAGTTTGTATAAATTGCCCTGACTCACACTGTGAGCAAGATCATAAACTTAAACTCAGGTTTTGGAGTCTGCATCAGTAATATTAACCGCCAAGGCATGGGTCTTTATTCTTGGCTTCACCTTAAAGTAGTCAGAGGACTTATAATTCCCAGGAGGAGAATCTTGGTGTCCATATATTATAAATGTTCCACCAAGTGATTCCAAAGTTCAGAGTGGAGAGTGGTCTACCAAACCAAACTATAGCATCACTTTAACAGACACTGAATTGTTATAGCATCTACTACCAATTCAGTCACAAAGAGAACAAATGTATTAAATAGTAAAACCTTAAATGTATTAAATAGTAAAAGCCTTTCAACGCTTCTATCCATTTTTTTTCTTACAAAGAAAATCTATGTTCATCCTTTTAAAAAGACTGGGTAGCAGCACTAAAGCAAAATCAAAGAAGGTAGGGGTAAAAAGGAAGAGGTGACAGAGGTGTATCTCAATCGGAAGAAGAGAGTAGTTGAATTGGGGTTGTTGGAGTAATAAGACACTCTCTACTGATGAGTGGGCTGTACTATCAAAGGCGCATTTGCCGAATGTTTCCCTTTCAGTAATGGTACAAAGACTCCCTTGCCATTACAAAGCACTTTTCTTTTTGGCAGATTGAAGAATGCTTTACCAACTAAATGCATCCCGGCAATATTCAGAGCTTAGGTCCAACATAATCATAAGTTGCCTTGTTATTGCAGAGGGAGCAGCCCCATTTAATAACATATTAAATGCATTATTCATTTATGTAACTCAGACCCAGGGACAGCTGCTGAGATGAAAATAGAACCATTCTGTAATGCACAAAGCAGGTGTGTGCTTACTTGAGTAAATGAACTCTGTATTTCTGCACAATTTTCTTCTAAATTCTAGGGACAGGTCTGGTAGATGTAATGTGATGCCATTTTTACCCAGGAAATAAATTGGTTTCAAAATGATTTTTAATGAGCACTAAAAAAATTACCAACAATGTTCTTTGTGGCCGAATCCCGAGAGTGGTTGGTGGGGTAGGCATTGTGCTTTGGATTTAAGCAGAACTCCAGTTGCTGCAGGATTCAGGAATGCCTGGGGCAATGATTGGCCAGAACACCCCAAACAAAAGGAATGCTCTCTAGCCTGCAGAAACTGCCATTGTGATGGGGGAGGGGGAGTGTGTGGGGGGGGGCGGGGGGGGGGGTGTTGTTCCATACCTCATTGCTGCTTACTAAAGCAGAGTCACAAGTATACTTCAATGCTAAGCAATTGAAAATCATAACCTGCCTTCAGTTTGCATAGATCCTTATCTCTGCAACACACAGGGAGCTTCTGAGGCATGGCTGAACTCATTGGCTGACGTAATTGCAACTAGGATTGCAGGTCATTTTTTCTTGTTTCCTTTTCTTGTACCAGAATGTCATCATTCTGTGTCTGCCCTTTTCTATGTGTCATTATTTTCATTTTAATCCACATATTCTCTCTCTCTTTGTTTCTCTCTTTATTTCTCTCTCTGTCCCTGTCTGTCTGTCTCTGTCTCTGTGTCACTCTCTCTATCTCTCTGTCTCTCTTTCTCTGTCTCTCTCTCTCTGTCTCTCTCTCTCTCACACACACACACACACACACACACATGCTTGTGATCAATTCAGGTTTATGCATGCAAGGAATATACTTTATCACTAAAACACATCCCTTGCCTGACCTACAATGGATTTTAAAAAACAGCACATATGATGATGTTGAAAATGCTCAGATAAAAATGACCAATCAGGGCCAGAGAGATAGTATAGTGAGTAAGTGACTTGCCTTGCATGCAGCCTATCCAAGGTCAGTTCCTGGCACCACAAAAGATTCTTCTGAGCCCCTGTAAGAAGTGATCCCTAAATGCAGAGTCAGTAGTAACCCCTGAGCCTTGATGGGTATAGTGCAAAAACAGAAAGAAGGAAGTGAAGGGGATGGGAGGGGAGGAAAAAAGAAAGGGAGGAGTGGGGGAAAATCAGAAAAGGATGGGATTTTAGTCAGGTGCAGAATTTTAAAGGTCCTGTGATATTCTAGGTCCACCTTTTAGAGGCTGAATTGTGAGAAGAAGCAGGGATTTCAGGAATTTTTATCCATACAGCTGTAGATTTTTTTCTTTTAAAACAGGCCTTTGAGAGATATGGAGGAGTAGTTGTAATGAGTGTTAGCAGATATTTCAATAGTTGTACTGGAATAATTATCCTGATGTGGACCTCCCAGTTGTCATAGTGCTCAGGCTTACTCCTGACTCTGCATTGCAGGTCTGGAATAAAGAGCATCCTGTAGGAGCTGGAAGTTCATAGTCACATGCAAGACTTAAAATCATACAAGGCATAAATGATTCCTACCAAATAAACCCTATGGCTTTCCTTATAAGTTTGGAAGACAAATGAACATATTCAGTTGATAGAGACAAAACATCTGTTTACCATGTAGTGGCAAAGAGTGGATGAATTCTGAAAACAAATGGAACTGTTTTAGAGAAAACTAATTAACACCTGCACTTATATAGTTGGGAACAATAACTTCATTATAAAAATATTTTTAAAATAAACAAGGTAATACATGGTAAGAATTTCATACAAGGGAAGTTTTTATTCCTTGTTTACTTTCCTTAAGTGACAAAGTCATATTGCATTATATCTGAGTCATTAAAAAATATACCACATTTTCTTTATCCGTTCATCCATCGATATTCATTTGGATTGTGACAAAATGGATGGATCTTGAGAGCAGTTTGATAAATGAAATGTCAGATGGAGAAAGACAAATACTGTATGATTTCATTCATAGATAAAAGACAAAGAAAAGTAATGAACAAATAAATTGAAACAAAAACAAACTCAGACTGTAAGACCAAAATGTGTGCTTTCTCAGAGCACTGTACCTGAAGCCTTTTTAAGGTGAGGTTCAAGTAACTTAATATAACTACTCGTCAAATACTAGGTATAAACTAGCAATTTTGACCAATTTGCTTCATCACTAAGCCACATTTCTGACCCCACAATAATCCTTCTACTCCCAAATTGTATAGCCTGTGAAGTATCCCCACTATTATCAACAGGTGTCTGTTAGCTGTAATATCAGCTTAGTGAGGCTAAGGGCCTTGTCTTCTCTTGCTGTACATTTCCCACAGCTCCAAAGTGAACTGATTGATAGATTGACTATATGAATAAAAGAATAAAAGTAAAATAATAATAGGTACCGTGCATACCTCTGATGACTTACTTCATGAGTACATTGAATAAAATCATGCAGGTCCTCAGAGCAGCATGATATGTCATTACACCTGACCCTCGGGACTAGGCAACAGTCGGGAAGGATTTGGGAGTGATCGGAATGACAATAAGCTGGATGCCAACTTGAGCTTTTCTCTACTTAGGTACCGGAAGGTGGTTTCTAATAACTGCACTGATGGAGTGAGAGAGCAATATACTGCCAAACCCCAAAAGTGTCCAGGCAAGGCCCCTCGGGGGCTCCGGATTGTCACTGCTGATGGGAAGCTGACAGCAGAACAAGGACATAATGTCACGCTTATGGTGCAACTGGAAGAGGTAGGATTGATTCTTATCTTCTGCTAACCTTCTAGATCCAGGAAATCTTCCTAACTATCCTTTGATTTTATTTTTGTATAAGCTTGGACTGCATACATGGCAGAGTGCAGTGGCTGCTCCCGGCTCTGTATCTAAGGTTGGCACTTTTCATTTCTCATCAGCTAGGAATTCTTCCCAAACTAAACAGTGCAATGCCATTTCTGATTCTGTCTCTCACTGACCCCAACATCTCTCCTTGCTGCTCGAAGAAAGTCAAGATCAGATCCCACCCAACAGTGGCTGTCAGCTCACCTTATAGGTCCCAATGGAAACAGTCTTCCTGGGGAGGGAATTGCTCTTTTTCTGTACCCTCAAGCAATGCCAGGGCACTCTACAGGCAAAAGCACCTGGAGTAAGGATGAGGGAGTCCAGAAGTTGATTTTAACAGAGTTCTGGGATGCAAGCAGAGCTGAGGATTGAACCCAGGGCATGCAAAGCCTGCGCTGTGGCCCCTGAGGTATCTCCCTAACCTCTAAATATATTTGTATTAATTATAAAGTTTATTCAATTTTTATTGTACTTTGTGTTTCATTGGATGGCATTATGTTATCTTCCCTGACATCCGCTTCAGTTATTTTCACTTCACCGCAAGTGGTTCTTCACCTCTACTTAATAACTCATTTCTTAGGATTTGTGTTTGGATTGACATCACCTTTTAAGCATTTTTAGCAAGTATTTTTCTCAGATTCTGGTAATGGTATTCCTCGAATAATGCCACACACCCACATACAGGATCAACTTGAAAAATGCTAATCTTTTCTTTCTTTTCAAGCTGGAAACTCGGCTTTTGTTTTCTAAAGACACCATGCTGGTTATGCAGACAATGCCAAGAAGGGCTGGAGCGATAGCACAGCGGGTAGGGCGTTTGCCTTGCACGCGGCCAACATGGCCGACCCGAGTTCGATTCTTCTGCCCCTCTCAGAGAGCCCGGAGCCCGGCAAGCTACCGAGAGTATTTGATATGCCAGACACAGTAACAACAGTAACATACAAACATAATTGAATACAATATATTTGGCAATTGGGAGTTTATAATTTTTGTAGCACCTTAGGTAATCGGTACATGTATCAATTATTATTTGTCTAATTATGGTTTTTGTAAATTTCTGAGTAGAGGGTGGATAAGATGAAATTTGTACTGTGTATCTAGAATACACCTGGGGATTTTTGTCATTTTATAAAAGAGGTAAACTGTCTCTAAAGAATAAGCACTTTCATTCAGTGCACTTGGTACATAATCCTGCAACCCATATTTTTGAGAGATTTATGTAGGCTGTGTAAAAACAAAGGGAGTTCATAAATTGATAGAGATTCCACAAAAAGATCCAAACACCACTGACTTTCCTTCCTCTTCTGATAATAACCCTGAAATTTTGACATGAATTTGAATCACATGCTGATTCAATTGATACAGTTTGGCTGGCCCCATCTCTAAAGATTCTCCAACAAGACACTGATCATGACCCAAGAATATACACTTCTATTAATATATACTAGGCATAGTTCACATGAAAACAAAAATGAAAGTGCAAAGTCTAAAGGAAAAGAGACTTGGGGGATTATTACTTGAAGAAAAAAGAAAAGTTATTCAGATTTTGTTGTCACCTTTCATTAAATTTATTAGCACTTTCATTCTAGTAACAATAACTATATTTTAATGAATTTGAAACTGGTTCTGATGATAATTATATTTCTGGTCCACACAGAAAACTGATGTTTTAACCTAATACTCCTCTTTTATCCTTAAGAGATGTTGTCTATTTTCAGCCTGTCAATTTTAAATTCCCTGGAATATTCCCCAAAATTTCTCTGTTGGAACTTGAATATTACAGGCCAATGTAAGCCAGCTGGAGTTACTTGAAATTCACAAAAATAAAAGTTTGGGATATTTCTGCCTGAAGCTATGATAGGCTAGCTTGCAGCAAACAAAATATGGTTGTGCATATTGGGATAAGAGTGAAACAGTAAAGAAGACAGAACATAGGAGAGAACCATCAAGAGGGTTTTAGGTGCTCGATTCTTTTCTTGATAGTTGGGAAACTTACTGTGGTAAGTTCGATAACTTTACTGTGTATTTTCCCACAGGAACTTTGGTATCACACCATGTAAGAGGTCAGGTCGCCAATTTCCTAGAGTTGGTCAGTCAGAACATGTTCAATTAAAATCTGTTAGTGGACTCAAAAGATAAAACAACTTCAGAGTTAAGACGATAGCTAGAACAGCAAACCCAAAGAGGAAAAAAAATAATCACTGGCAGAATAAGCAATTATGTGTAGGGTCTTTATTGTTGCTGTTATTATTTGGTTGTTGCTTGTTTGGGGTGTGTGTGTGTGTGTGTGTGTGTGTGTGTGTGTGTACACGTGCAGGATCTCTCAAGCTGTGCTCAGGAGGTTCAGAGAACTCAATATCAATTGTAGTCCAGCTAGCTCATGGGCCTGACGGTGTGAGACTGCACTGCCAGGGATATCCCCCCAGATGATGCTGGAGGATTCCAAGGCTGCACCCACGTTGACCAGGGCATTTTGTGGTACCTGAAATTGAACCTGGGTCTGATGTATGCCAGATATGCATCCTAATCCCTGAACTGTCTCCTAGACTCTGTATGTAGTTTTTAAAACTATTACATTTGGAGTAGATACAAATTTACACTCAGGACATAAGAAGAATGAGAAACCTGGTGAATAGCACACAACTCTGTTCTGAGAACTTCTGGAAAGCTCTATCCTAGGAGTGAAGGGGATAAAGGATAAAGCCATGACCTTTAAACCCTGAAATTATTTTCAGGTCTAACTGGTTTATAATAACCTATCACAACTTTAAATTTTCATGAGAAGGTAAAACAAAGTTTAGAGGAAGATAATATAAATCAATGGCCTTCCCTATATTTCATGTAAATGCTGACTATTTAACTAAGATATATTAAGAAATTCAATCATGATAGAAATTGGAAAAAAAGAACAGTTGTCTAAATTAATATGTTCATAAATATGAAACAAGATGGAATACTTAATTATATAAAAGTTTATAGCATTAATTCTTCAGAGGTAATAATAATTAAACGGAAGTTGTTAATATGAGGACGTATCCACTGAAATAAGGAATTAAATTAATTTTGCAACAAATTGTATCCAGATTAATAGAGAATCAATACATTGCGAAAACTAATCGAAAATATACCATGTGGAGAATAAGAGGAATAGCATAAGATATAGAAAAGGGATGGGTAATAATTGACAAATTGAAGATGGTTGAAAGAGCTAATATATATGTAATTGTAATCCTAGAAGAGAAGGAAACATTTTTTGAGAAACAATGAGAATTTTTCAAGACTGACTAAAGAGTCAGCATGTCAGCCCACAGATTCAAGCAAACTATAAGTGATGTGTACGTAAAGAAAAAACACACTAGGTATTATATTCAAACTACTAAAACTAAAACCAAAAATTTTGAAAGCAGCATCGTATAAAATGAAATGACATCTTTGAAGTTCTGGGGGAAGAAACATGAAAGTAAAATAAAGCCATTTTTCAGAGAACCAAAAACTGAGATGAGTAACATAAGCAGATTTCTGTAAAAAGAAACATTGTCAGTTACTTTTCAAGCATAAAGAACATTACCTAAGGCAAAAGCACAAAAATAATGGAAATAATAAAGAGCAAGATGAAGGGTGTATGAGGGAGATAATTTATAACTTTGTAGTCCAATAGTGATACTTTTGGGCTTTAAAGTATTTGTAAAATTAAAATTTACAACAACAATACAATAGACTATGGGAAGAATTAAGTAGAAGTTATTTTATTATTTTAAGTGTCAGAAAGAGATAGTGATAGTTATATTAGGCACAAACATGTCCACAACATATTTTAATATCGACAATGACAACTAAAAGAATAGGAAAGGGATATTGACAGGGGAATTAGAATGATATTTCAAGTGCCTCATCGATCCAAAATAAGGCAAGAAAATGAAAAAAAAATAGGAATATACATTCTGCAGAAGAGACAAGTGAACAAATATTAAAATTATAGGTATGAACCTAAATATATGTCATCATGTGAAGCAAGATTTTTTGTGACATACTTTAAAAAAAACAGTGATTCATGCAAGGTCATAAACATATACCCACATTTTTTCGTTAGCTTTCACATTGAAATAAATGATCCATTTTTACTAAAATTATTTAGGGCAGATTCCAAAATTTATGATTCCATATGTGCATGGAGTTGACCCACCATGATTGTAATACAATGATTCTCAAACAAAATTTTCAATAGCATTTGCTCCTTATGAATTGATCATATAGGTCTAACTTCTCTAGACAGTTTTGTTCCATTGTTTTGATTTCTAAGTTTTGTGAGTCCAGGTGGTAATCACTGTAATAGATCATGCAAAGCACACACTCTAGTACTGACCTACGACCCAACCTAGCTTGTATTTCAAATCAATGTTAATTGCTAATTTCAAATACATTTTAGTTACTATAAATTTCAAGTGGGTTTTAGTATTTGGACACACGTACCTTCCAAATAATTTGGAAGCCATATTTGTAGGTATTTACACACATAAATATTTTTACAAATTATAAATCAGAAAACAAAACAGAGAAATCGATTTGTTTTTGATAGTGCTTCTCATAGACACATTTAGAACATATAAAAAACTGAATGAAAAGAACCAACCATGATTATTGGTTGGAAGGGGTACTATTATGAAAAGATGTCAATTTTCCACACATTTATCTTAGATTTAAGATAATCCTTATAGAAATAGAAATCCAATGTGTTTTTGTAGGTCAAAATTTATGAAATGAGCCTAAAATTAATCGGAAAAAGAAAGGACTTAATAATAGGAAAGAAAGTCTTAAATTTTGAAAAATGAATAGCTTGTATTACCAGATATCAAAGTTTGTTATAACAGAACTATAATAATTAAGAAAGTGTAGTTATTATATATGTGTGTATG